CAAAAGACGCATCAGGTTTGAAATGTCTCTGCCCGCTGCCCTCGATTATCCCGTCCGCGTTGCAGGTAGCGAAGGCGCCCAGTCACCGCGATAGGCCAGGCCCTTCGGGAGCTCTGCAGACATCGAAGCAACGGGTTGCCTGGGCAGAGGTGTCGAGCTACCTCAGACGCGGGCAGCTTTCTTCCTGACATTGCCCGGGCGTTTCCTCGCGGGGCCGCAATGGCACACCACGTCGCTGTCGGAGGACCTCTCCAGGTCCACCTCTTGGCCTGGTCGTAGATTTAATACAGGGGCTGCTTTTGTCTCGTCGGTATCTCGGGCCTCCCAGGCGCGCCCGCCCCCGCCCCTGTCGGGGCCACCTCCGCCCTGGGCGCGACCGCCCGGCGGCTCGGCCGGCGAGGTGGGCGCGAGTGGCCGCCCCCCCTGACCCCCTTCTTCTGCGATATTTTCGCCCGCCGCCCGCGTGGATGCTGGTGGAGACGCGGGCGGCGCAGCCCTGGAACAGCCCGCGATCTGCCCCGTCGCATTCAGCTCGCGCCGACGGGGAATACTTCGATCCCTGTCCACGCTCGCCTCGACAGGATCTTTATCCCTCCGCTGGTAGTGCAGGTCCTGGTTGTAGATCTTGAGAATGCGATCATCGTCCAAATCTCCCCAGACATCCGCATCTTGGACTTAGGTATCGGTCAATGGAACGTAGCCCTCAATGGACGTGGCCGCCGTTCCGCCCACGCCGCCGCCATGGTCAGGACGCCAAGGCGTCTCGCCACAATGCGGGCTGCGAGATGGACGGCCCGCATGGGCGGCCCATGGGACAATTGCGGCGAAGCTGACTGCGAGCCGGGCATGGACACACACGGCACCCCCTGCGACCTTGGACGACGCCCCGCTTGCACGCCCGCCTTTCAACACCCGCCTCTCAACACTTCCTCCACCGCGACGATCTGACGCTTTGGGCAAGAGACCCCGTCATCACGAGGAGCACGTGTCAAAGACCACAAATGATGAATTTGTGATTAAGTGCAAGCCTGCTCGAGAAAATAGTTCACGCCGGCTTCATTTATCTCCACGCGCGCGCCTTGCTCGCCATAAGAAGAAGGCATTCCCCTCGCCACAGGATGTATAATTCAATACCCTTGCCCCCAGCCCGTCTCGCTGGAGCTCGCACCGCGCGCGGGCTCGGCAGACTGAGCATAGCCTTTGCCCTTGGAAGGGCCAGCTTCGCGCGAGCGACTACGACCTCGACCGGGGCAGCCCGTGACCGAGCTATATGTTCCAGATTTCCCTGGCGCGCCTGCCGCGGCGAGGGCCGCTGCGCTGCGGCCACGGCGACTGCCTCCTTTGTCGCCTTAACTGGGGCCATCCAAGCCAATGGGGGCCTTTCCAAAATTCCCCCGCATCATGGGCACGAGCGTCTACGTCCCACAGCGGCCCGCCGCTCCTCCTCCGCGAGTCCAAACACGGGTGGAGTCGGGGGCGGGTGGGGCCTCGCCTGCTCGTGTCCGAGCTGTTTCATTATTTCAGCGTCGGTGGCAGGTGCAGTCTCCGCGTCAGGACATACAGTCGTCGTCGTCGTCGTCGTCGTCGTCGTCGTCGTCGTCGTCGTCGTCGTCGTCGTCTGAGTCGCACTGCGCATGCCCGCGCCAACGCGCGCCGATCCAGTCCTCGACGGGCACGTCGCACAGCTCCTCGGCCCCGCCGCGCAGGTGCTCGGCGCAGCGATCCCCCGACATGGCAGCGTCGGCGAAGTGGGCCGTCAGAAACCAAGCAGAGCTTGATCGGGAGTAGAGGGGCCACGCACTCAATAATTCCCGCTTCGGATTGCTCTGAGCCGAAAAATACGAGCCCGCCCCCCTTTCCCACCTCCCTTGGAGCATTGCGCTGGATTTGCTTCGTTTCTGCAAGTGTTGCATGCCATCCGTCTACCATTTTTACCCGTGGGATTCGGCCTACGCCCCTTAGTCTTCACAGTCGTAACCGGTCAGCGGTCAGTCGAGCCAGAAACGCGGTCATACCTATGCCATGCAATCTGCGCGTACGTCAACTACCTTTGCCGAGGCACTTTCCCTTACCGAAGGAGAGACGACGCACGGCTTGCCTAAACTTCCTAACTGGTTTCTTCATATGTCGCCCCCACCTCCTTTCGGAGTGATGATAGCCTAGGTCTAGGCACTGTGTAGCTGCATCATTACCGGCGGGTAGGTCTGACCAGTCGAGGTTTTCGGCACTGGCAAGGGAAACCGCATCGGTATCCGTACCAGAACCGAAGACGTGGTCATCTTGTTGGCTGGGGGGGGCCCAGGGGGCGGTCGCGTCTGGCGGCGCATAGCTGGCCGCCGACGGCCAGCCCGTGTTTGGGCCAGAAGCCTGTTCGTGATTGTTGGCATCTTGGCTTAGAAGCGTCGTGGACTCAGTGGGCTCTCCGTCGTCCCAGATGCAATTCGGCATAGCAGCCGGGGTGCCACTTATTTCGGCGCGGTAGGTGCCCGCGCTGCGTCCGCTGAAGATGCCCCCGGCGTTTCCTGGGGAACTCTCCGCCAAGTGCCCATGGCAGCGCGTTCGCTCCAGGAGTTGGCCGCGCTGTTAGTGGACACGGGGCATCTGGTGATTCAGCGGTTGAAGCAGCTGTGCTGCTCGGGACGTACCAACTCCCAAGGCTCGACATAAGATCAAAGTAAGGATCTGGAAGTTAGGTATGTGAATGCACGCTGAGTCTGCTTCCAGCCTGGCCATCTCGAATCGGGCCAGTACTGAGTCGATGCGTTCGCCCCTCTCGACCCTGAAGTCGATGAGGGCTGTTCCCGAAGTGAGCTGTCGCTCGTCCTCAAGGTTTTCACATGTGGTGCTTGATTGGTACATGATGTACATGCTTCCGTCGGTGCGTCTCCTGTCAGGTGACACCATAGTTGATGATGGTGGACGGCATCATCATAGCTAGTGTCCTAGCCAAGCCCCATAGGCCGCGCTGTAATGCAGCGGCCTGTTGAGGTGGAATCATGCTTCCGCTCGCGACGTTAAGCCACGTGTGTGCTTCGCGAGCAAAGTCGTGAAAAGGGGACCTTGCCTGCGGGATCCCAGAAGGGACCCCGAGTGCGCGTTTCATTCAGTCCTCCTCCTCGCATGTATGCCACGGCAAAACCTAGGCACACACAGATGGTTCCAAATATAGCGACCTTGACCTAATGCATGGTCGTGTTGTAGCTGATGATGTCAGGTCTTGTATCATCGGACATTGTCGCGCCGATAGGGTTGCGACTGGATGTCTGGTCTGACGTAGCCGTCAATTTGGGGATGGGTATCGCAAATTGTGTTGTAAGTGGCGTGTTGCCACGCGGTGGGGAGATGGAGGTATAGGACTGTAAGTTACCAATCGGTTCAAAGAGCATTGCGAGTGTAGGTGGCTGAGAGCCGGCGCAGTCGTGTCCTCCACTGCGCCGTCGTAAATAGTTATGTAAGCAACACATGATGTAAGAGCCAGCCACATAAAGATATAGCCAGCTCCACTACCAACTAGTAAGTCAGGGTTGACGGCTTGACCATGAGGTATCAACATGTGGGAACCCGACTGTTTAAGGATAGCGTCGGCGACGTATCGAAGTATCCCACAACTCATCCCGTGATGACAAGCAAGTCGAGAAGTAAGGGATAAGCCATGATCTGGAGAAGCGGATCATTGATAGACGTGTCCTGTGTCTGATACAATGATCCAGATAGAGTCGCACACAGTCGTGCAACTGGAGTATAGGACCGCGCAGTCTTGAGCCAAGACAGCGGCGGATATAGCGTTCGCTATACAGCCCCACCTTGAACCTCGTGTAAAATTAAAGACGGCCTAAGACCGCCCCAAAACGGCCCAAGAGGCGCCCAAGGCGGCCCAAGAGGGCTCCAAGACAGCCTCAAAAGAGGCCGGAAAGAGAGACCACGAATCGAGAATCCGTGCCTTCCGCTCCAAGAGGCCCCCTGGAGAAACCAGGAGGCGCCCCAGAGGCCCAAAGAGGCCCCAGGAGGCCCCCAAGAGGCGCCCCAAGAGGCCCCCCAGGAGCCCTCAAGAGGCCCCAAAAGAAGGCCCAGAGCGGCCCCCTACGAGGCCTCAAAACTGCCTCCAAGAGGCTCCCGAGAGGCCTCCCGCGAGATCCCGACGAACACCCAATAGGCTTCATACACACCACCCAGGCACGGTGGGCCGGACTCGCCGTAGGCAGCTGGATAATTACGGCGGGGGCATCGGATAAGGAACCCTTAGATAAGGAATCCATGGTCTGGAGACCGGTGGAACTCCCATCGTGGATCGGCCATGGATATCACCGCCGCCTTCGTCAGATCAGGAACCCTCCAGGGTCTGCAGCCTCCTGGGCGCCTTCTCAACCAACGCCCCCACCGTATCCCCAAGAATTGTAATTCTTCTGCCAGGTGGAGTCTAGCGGCCCCCCGACGGAAACATAGAGGGGTATTGAGGCTTCCTGGGGTGAGGAAGAGGAGCTCACGTAGCTTAGGGAGGAAGAAGAGGAGGAGGAGGAGGAGGAGGGGGAGGAGGAGGAGGAGGAGGAGGAGGAGACGCGTGCTCTCGAGGCTTGCAGCCATACACGGGAGCAACGGCCAACATAGGGCCGTCATCTGAATTCCGAAGATCAGAACAAAGCAGCCTCGGAAAAGACAACAGACTAGGCCGAGCATAACAAATCAAGCATCAGGCACATGGAAGGGCTTTCCCATCTTAGGAGCATAGGAGGAGCAGGAGGAGGAAGAGGAGGAGGGAGGAGGAGAAGGGGATTAGGAGAGGGAGGAAGAGGATGAAGAGGAGGAAAGCTGCCTTCAATTGGTTTCAGAATTTTTAAAGGAGTTGATTGGAAATTCTTACCGGGTAGGTAGAGGTAGAAAGAGGAGGGGCAGGAGGAGCAGGAGGAGGAGGAGAATAAGGAGGAGAGGGGGAGGAATAGAAGCAAGAGGAGTGGTAGGAACAGCAGCAGCAGCAGCAGGAGGGGGAGGGGGAGGAGAAGGACCTCTACCACCAGCTGTTCCTGCGCTACCGGGATCTTGTCCAGGAGCAGCAAGGTCACTGCGGTCTTAACCTCCTCCTGGCTTCCGCTGCTGGTGAAGGCCATGCTCTGCATGATCCTGAACGGAAGGGTGGTAGTTGTCAAGGTGGTTCTCGTGGTAGCAGTGGTGGTCGTGGCCGTGGTAGCAGTCGCGGTTGTGACCGTGGCAGTCGAAAACGTCAGCGATGTAGACGAACCGGTGACACTGGAGGCCGTCGTCGTCATGCTCGTCACCGTAAAGGAAGTCATAGATGCGGACGTACCGGTCACGCTGGTGGCGGTGGTCGAAGAGCTCGTCAGCGATGTAAAGCTGAACGTGGCCGATGTCAGCGTCGGCGATGTCTGCGTCAGCGATGAGGTGGTGACCGTGGCCGTGTGAGACCTCGTTGTGGCCGTGGCCGTGGCAGTCGACTGCGTGAGCGATGTAGACGAACCAGTGACACTGGAGGCCGTCGTCGTCATGCTCATCACCGTAGAGGATGTCAAAGATGCAGAAGTACCAGTGACGCTGGCGGTGGTCAAAGAGCTCGTCAGCGATGTAAAGCTGAACGTGGCCGATGTCAGCGTCGGCGATGTCTGCGTCAGCGATGAGGTGGTGACCGTGGCCGTGTGAGACCTCGTTGTGGCCGTGGCCGTGGCAGTCGACTGCGTGAGCGATGTAGACGAACCGGTGACACTGGAGGCCGTCGTCGTCATGCTCATCACCGTAGAGGATGTCAAAGATGCAGAAGTACCAGTGACGCTGGCGGTGGTCAAAGAGCTCGTCAGCGATGTAAAGCTGAACGTGGCCGATGAGGCGGTGACCGTGGCCGTGCGAGACCTCGTTGTGGTTGTGGCCGTGGCAGTCGACTGCGTCAGCGATTTGGACGTACCAGTGACACTGGAGGCCGTCGTCAGCGATGAGGCGGTGACCGTGGCCGTGCGAGACCTCGTTGTGGTTGTGGCCGTTGCAGTCGAAAACGTCAGCGATGTAGACGAACCCGTGACACTGGAGGCCGTCGTCGTCATGCTCAGCACCGTAGACGATGTCAACGATGCGGAAGTATCAGTGACACTGGCGATGGTAGACGAGCTCGTCAGCAATGTTAGGCTAAACGAACCCGTTGTCTGCGTCGCTGATGTCTGCGTCAGCGACGAGGCGGTGACCGTGGCCGTGCGAGACCTCGTTGTGGTCGTGGCCGTGGCAGTCGAAAACGTCAGCGATGTAGACGAACCGGTGACACTGGAGGCCGTCGTCGTCATGCTCGTCACCGTAAAGGAAGTCATAGATGCGGACGTACCGGTCACGCTTGTGGCGGTGGTCGAAGAGCTCGTCAGCGATGTAAAGCTGATCGTGGCCGATGTCAGCGTCGGCGATGTCTGCGTCAGCGATGAGGTGGTGACCGTGGCCGTGCGAGACCTCGTTGTGGCCGTGGCCGTGGCAGTCGACTGCGTGAGCGATGTAGACGAACCGGTGACACTGGAGGCCGTCGTCGTCATGCTCGTCACCGTAAAGGAAGTCACAGATGCGGACGTACCGGTCACGCTTGTGGCGGTGGTCGAAGAGCTCGTCAGCGATGTAAAACTGAACGTGGCCGATGTCTGCGTCGGCGATGTCTGCGTCAGCGAAGATGCCGGGTCGGCCAGGTCCGCGACCGCCGTGGCTGTGGTGGTCGTGCTCGCCGGCCCCGTGGCACTCGTGGTGGCCCCCATCTGCGGGGAGGGGCGGGGGGGGGGGCGGCGTGGAGTGTGGCATGAAGGACGCGGGCCCCAAGGGAAACGTAAGACGAAGCCAGGACGAAGCTAAAATCGGGTGAGGATACATCCGGAATCTCTGAGATCCGGCGGATCTGGAGGATGGACCAGAAAGCCAACGACACACACCTCACCTAGGGCCCCCCGGGCCTTAGCGTATACCGTAGGGTGGTGTCGTTTGTTTTTTGGTCGAGAGGATGTCTCGGGCGCCACGGCCTTCTCAGAGCGTTCCGGAACGCTCTGGGAGCGTTCCGGAACGCTCCCCTGAGATCCGACGTTGCGGGAAAATGAAAGCGTTTCGAAACGCTTCCCTGAGATCCGACGTTGCGAGAAAATGGCAACGTCGTAGCTCCAGACCCATCTGCGTCATTTCTCGAGGTGGATCGATCTGTGAGGGTCCCGGGGCCCAGAAAAAGGCGAAGACGCCCAGCTCGAAAAAGTTCCAACGTCAGGACCTAGAGCGGATGTATCCTCCTCCTGGCCCCGTCCAACAACGGGCACTGGATCTGTTCTCCGTTGTCCAGCCCCCATGGTCCGGGACCCCTTTTTGCTCCAAGGTGAGGAGGCGCAGGGGCGCAGGGACGCCGGGGGGGGGTGTTCGGTGGCAACTCGTGGGAGCCTCCCATGCCATCTTGTCGGCTCTCACGAGTCGACGCCGATCGACGCTAGTCGACGCAAATCGACGTTTTGATCGACGCTTGCCGACGCCAAATCGGCGCTATCTCATCGACTCCCAAACGCTGAGCGACGCTAGTCGGCACTAAAGACGGGATTGCGAGGGTATACTTAAGTCGGGCGTGTCCCCCTACAGGGGGTTTTTGGGCGACAAAATAAAAAATACTCAAAAAATGCGCCCAAAATGCTCAAAAAGAGTCAACAAAAACGTCCCCTGACTATTTTTTAACTATTTTTGAATATTCCCCCTGTAGAGGGACACGCCCGACTTAAGGGTATACCAGGCTTCCATGATTTGCTGCCGAAGGGGGTGTGAGGTGGGAGGCAGGCGGCAGTGGCGCTAAGACGTGCTCAACCCTAGCAAGCTCTTGTATGTGCAAAGGGCGCAGGCGGGGGGCAGGCTTGCCATCTTGCCATCGCTCGGACGTCCATTTCCCGTATTGCTCGGCTTCGTGCGCCTATTTTGCGACGCGACGGGGATCCAAGATGCTCCTCAATGGTCCCCGCCGAGATGAACAGGAAAATGCACACGTCCGAGCGATGCCAAGCAGGGGAGAGAGGGAGGCCATGACAGGGCGAAAGATGAGGGGGAATGAATTCATCAGGCTGCGGGTTCGCGTCTGGCCCAAACTCCCTTAGAAACCAGCGCGGGAAAGAAGGGCAAGAAAAGGCCTCCGTCATCGAGATGGCCCCCATCTTCATCGAGTCCTCGTAGAGGTACATGCCGTGGTCCTCCATGATGTCACACAGGTCCTGCACGGTGGTATTCGACGAGTCGACCATGTCCTCCGCCGTGCACAGAAGAAGAAGTACTAGGTCCAGAATTCCCTAGAGCCGCCTGCACGAACGAACGCAAGTCTTGCGCCAGACGGCGCGCGAGCAGGGTGAAGCATGACGTAACGTTGGTGCCAAAGAGCAGCAGTGTTTGCATCGAGCTCCACTTCTTCACCGCTGACTCCCACGAAGCCGCTGCTCTGCTCTCGCGGAGCCGCCTGCAAGCCCCCTTCTTACCTCAGGGGGCGCTCCACGTGTGTGAAGCAGTCGGTGGACGCGACGTCGCTGCCCAAAAGAGGCGACGCCTGGCCTTCCTCGAGCAGCCCTCCTCGGGCAGCCTTCCTCGAGCAAGCTTCCTCGAGCAATGCCAAGCAGCGCGCAGTGCAACCAAGCAGCGCCAAGCAGTGCCAAGCGAGGCCAAGCGATGCCGAGCGACGCCAGCACCGCAGAGCAATGCCACACAACATCAAGCAATGCAAACCAATGCAATGCACCGCCAAACAATGCCAAGCATATTTGCGCCCTTCCTTGCTCAATGACTTGCTGAGGAAGCCTTCCTCTGATAGGGGCCGGGCCGGGCTCATCTTTCCAAAGGCCCCCTCCTCCTTCTCACCACCGCAACCCCTAATCCGAATCTCCCTCCAAGCTTCCCTCCTCCTCCCTCTCCTCCTCCTCCTGCTCCTCCTCCTCCTTCTCCTCCTCCTCCTCCTCCTCCTCCTCCTCCTCCTCCTCCTCCTCCTCCTCCTCCTCTCTCTCTCTCTCGCTCGCTCGCTCCCGCTGCGCAACGCCCCCAATCCAAAGCCGCGCCGCCGCGCGCCCATCGGACCTTCGCGCCGTGCACATGCGTCTCAGAAGCCTGCACCAGCTCCAGAGAAGGACGTCGTGTTTTTTCAAAACGTCGACCCCCAGAGGTCTGGGCCCCTTCCCCGGGACCGGTTTTGCATCCTGAGTCTTCTTGTTGACGCTCCTGGGGCCCGGTAGGAGCCTCCGAAGGCCGAAAATAGAGCAAAACCTCCCGTCGCGATTTTCTCACAACGCGAGGGGGTCTGGGTACGGCTCTCGCCGTAGCGCCGACGCACCTTCGTCTTGAAGGTCTGCAGCCGCTCCACGGCAGGGAGGCGGCTCCTCTTCCGAACGGGGCTCTGGCATTGGCGCCGCTCTTTGAAGGGGCCCTGCGACACACAAATAAATACACACAAATAACAGGATTCCCTATATTTTCCCATATTTTCTGGGTTTCTGTCTTCCCCCCCTTCCCATATTTTCCCATACTTTCTGGGGAATCGACGATTAATTGTGTCTGTGTGTTTTTTCTCCTCTTGACTCTTGAAGGGAAGGGAGGCCGCTTTCAACATGGGATCCTGGCCTGGGCGCCGCGCACATCAGTCTCAAAAGCTTGCAGCAGTTACAGTCAGCCCAAATCATAAAGATGCGCGGTAAGGCTGCAAGGGCCTCGGAGGGCCAAGTGGACGTTTTTCGAACGAGGCTGGCCGGTGAAAGTCGCTGAGAATGGGCCCAAGGGGCAAGGATGCAAAGGTACCCCTGGGAAGGTTGCCCATCCCTACCATGCGGGTTGACTGCACACGAACGGAGGGCTTCTCTTGTTTCAAAACTGGGTCTCGCACGGGACTTGTTCAAGCGCAAACAAACCCTAAACCCTAAATTCTTAATCCTATAATTACTAAACCCTGAACACCGAAAAAACGGGTACATACGGGCACATACGACCCCAGCATGTAAACCGGCCGCCATCCCTTGCAAAAAATACGACGATGTCCTGATGATGCGTGCTGCAAACCCTCGACATCCCTTGCAAAACATACTTTTTCCTGACGTTCATACACCTATGAGACTTTCCTTAGCAAGGAAGTACTCTTTAGGTCCCCGAAAGTTCTTTCTGGTAGGGTGGTTTGCGGGTGGGACTGGCAGCCACCGCAGGTGGGCTCCTAGGCAGGAGGGGATCAGCTGCGGCAGAGCTTGTAGACCCTAAACCCTAAACCCTAAGCTTGGACGCCACGAGCTTGAACAGACGAAACAACTGCACGGCTGGAGCACGAGTCCGTTTCAGGACGGGGCTCCGGCTCGATGCCTCCTCGGCGTCCACGACCACGAGCCTAAACGTGGTGCAACACTCGCCATCGCTCGGACGTCCATTCCCTGTGTTTTTGTTCGGTTTCGTGCGTGGTTTTTTCGCCAAATGATCAAGGATGCTCCTCGATGGCCCTCGCCGAGAAAAAATGCACACGTCCGAGCGATGCCAGGAACAGTTACACCGATATGGGCGGCCCCTTCTTTCCACAACGGGGGTACCGCTGGACACCCCACTGGACTGTATGAGCATACCGTTCGCATGCCTTGCTGCTGTTCGAAAAAATTCAAGGCAAACGATACTTCAAAGTGAAACTCTCGCCAAAATGACAGGCTCATAGGGTGCTGGTATTGCACGAGACAAGACATATAGGGACTCGCGAAGAAAAATATTTAAGACGGGAGGTGTATCGCAGCGACGTTGATACATCTTGGATTTACGCTGGAGTGTCTTATCCTCCTCCTCCTCCTCCTCCTCCTCCTCCTCCTGCTTCTCCTCCTCCTCCTGCTCCTCCTCCTCCTCCTGCCCCTCCTCTTACTCCTGGCCTGGCCCTCCCTCCCTCCCTACCTTTCTCCTTCTTCCCTCCCTCACTCCCCATCTCACTCCCCCCCCATCCGCATTCTTCTCCTCCCCCTCCCCCTCCCTTTCTCCTCCTCCTCATCCTCCACCTCCTCCTCAACCTCCTCCTCCTCCTCCTCGTCATCATCAGCATCAGCATCAGCATCACCATAAAAATATCACCATCGTCATCACCGTCGTCGTCGTCGTTATCATCATCAACAGCATTATCACAATCATCAGCATCATCATCATCATCATCATCATCATCATCATCATCAGCAGCATCAGCATCATCCTCATCCTCCTCCTCCTCATCATCATCATAAGCAGCATCAGCATCATCATCACCATCATCATCGTCATCAGCCTCATCATCATCATCCTCATCATCAGCATCGTCATCATCATCAACAACATCACCACCGCCATCATCATCAGCAGCATCATCATCATTATCATCGTCATCGTCATCGTCATTACCATCGTCACCATCGTCATCATCACAATCATCACCATCGTGACGCTCAGCCAACAGCGAGAGTGTGATTCCTGAGTGTCGAGGGCGCGGCGCCTGAAAAATGGCGAGGAAGTCCCACGCGAGAGCGCGATTCCTGCATACATTGTGAGGACGCCCAGCGTGAGAGCGCGATGTGGGAATATATTGCGAGGAAGTATCAGGCGAGAGCCGTTGTTGTTCTACTTCCGGGCCCAACAGCCCTCTTTGGTGACATCCAGCTTTCCCTTGTAAAAACCAGGTGCGGGCCCTGGGAGAAGCACTCGAACTGATAATATCCAATGGTTATCGGGCAGGGGTGGTCAACAATAATTACGCTTAGTAGCGAGAGTTCAGCAACAACAACAACAACAACAACAACAACAACAACAACAACAATCAATGTAAGACTGCTCGATTTTCTCTGCTCGCGTGCCGCTCAACACGTAGATCCCAAACCCTCGATACCCGCCATCTTTTTCTTCGATCGTACCTCCTTCGGGGTGTATCTTTCTTGCCTGCTACGTGTGCATTTCGTGCAGCCCCGAAGGCAAGGAGAGAGAGGACGGATGGAAGGAAGGGACAAGGGGGAGGGAGGAAGATGGAGCACGAGAAAATAGCGGGAGGGGGGCTAGGGGCAGAAAACACGTGACGGGACCAGACGGGCAGATCGGGCGGGTAGACCCTAACGGGCGGGTCGGGAAGGCGGGCCCAGACGGCCAGGTCGAGCAGGCAGGTTGCTAAAGCGTGCGTCCTGCACGAGTCGCGAGGAAGAGGAAACCTCGAGGGACAGCGCGAGTCCCCAATAAATCTTGAGGAAATCCACAGCAAAAGCGTGATTCCTGAGGGTCGAGGGCGTGGCGTCTCAATAAACTGCAAGGATGCCCCACGCGAAAGCGCGATTCCTGTATCGAGTTATGAGAAACCCCTCGCGGGAGCGCGATTCGGGAATAACTTGTGGGGAAACATCAGGCGCGAGCCGTTGTTGTTGTAAACCGGGGGCCAGGGGCACAATCTGAGCAGGAAGATTTTAACGAGTAAAAACAGAGCGATCCCCAGGAGGGGGATTTCAGTTGAAAAACACGAATGTTACGCAAATGCGTGAGTCCTGCACAATTCGCCAGGAAGTCTCGGGCGAGAGCGCGATTCCTAAGTAAACTATAGGACAGTCCAAGGCGAGAGCGCGATTCCTGGATGGCGAAGGCGTGGTGCCTGAGCAGATTGCGGGGAAGTCACAAGCGAGAGCGCGATTCTTTGATAAATTGCCAGAAAGTCCCTAGCGAGAGTGCGATTCCTCAGTAAATTGCGAGAAAGTATCAGGCGGTAGCTGTTGTTGTTGTTGTAGTCCGGGGACCAGGGGGGCAGTTTGAGGATGAAGACTTAAGAACCAAAGCGCCAGCCCCAGGAGGGGCACTTCAATTGAAAAAGCACATATGTTACCGGAGGGGGGATCAACAATAACTATTATTCAGTAGTGGGAGTCCCACAACAACAACAACAACAGCACAGCACCAACAGCATCAGCAACAACAACAACAACAGCAACACCAAGAACAGCAACAACAAAAGCAACAACAACTAACACACCAACAAAAACAACAACAACGACAACAACAACAATCATTGTAAGACTGTTCGCTCTTTTCTGCTCGAGTGTCCGTTAAGGCGTATTTCCCAAACCCTCGATACCCGCCCTCTTCGACTTCGATCGTACCCCTTCTGAGGGGTAAACCTTTCTTCCCTGCAGGCTGGGCCCTGGCAAGCGGCGGGGTGGCCGCGGACCGTCGGCCTGGCCAGCGGCAGCGCTGATCGGCGGCAACCCGACCCCAAGAGGGACGGACAGGGGACCGACCACGACGACGACGACGACGTCGACGACGACGACGACGACGGCGACGACGACGACGAGCGAAAGCGAGAGCGAGAGAAAGAACGACAGCGGGGCCACCAAGGTCACGAAGTAGGCCACGAAGGGCGACAGCGGGGGCACGAAGGGAATGCGTATGGGGCCACGAAGAGCGCGAACGAGCGGGGGCCACGAAGGGCAGATAATGCGGGGCCACCGAAGGCAACGACGGGACCACTGAGTGTAGCAACTGGGCCACGTAGAACAGCGAGGGGGCCACGAAGAGCGACAGCGGGCCACGAAGGGCATGCACATGGGGCCACGATGGGCGCGAACGAGCGGGGGCCACGAAAGGCATACACAGATTGGGCCGCGGAGGGCAAAGACGGGGCCACTGAGGGCAGCAACGGGGCCACGAAGAGCAGCGAGGGCGCCACAAAGGGCGACAGCGGGGCCACGAAGGGCATGCCTATGGGGCCACGACGGGCGCGAACGAGCGGGGGCCACGAAGAGCATACATATATGGGGCCACGAAGGGCAACGAGGGGGCCACAAAGGGTGCAACGGGGCCACGATGGGCAACGAGGGGGCCACGAAGGGCTGCAACGGGGCCACTAAGGGCAACGAGGGGGCCACGAAGGGCTGCAACGGGGCCACGAAGGGCAGCGAGGGGGCCACGAAGGGCTGCAACGGGGCCACGAAGGGCAGCGAGGGGGCCACGAAGGGCTGCAACGGGGCCAAGAAGGGCAGCGAGGGGGCCACGAAGGGCTGCAACGGGGCCCACGAAGGGCAGCGAGGGAGCCACGAAGGGCTGCAACGGAGCCACGAAAGGCAGCAAGATCTCGTTTCCTAAATAATCTGTGAGGGAGTCCTAAGCGTGACTCCTGGGTGCCTGAGTGTTGGGAGCGCGGCGCTTGAGTAAATTGCGGGAAATTCCAACGCAAGGGCGCTATTTTTAAGTAAATTGCAAGCAAGTCTCTAGCGAGAGCGCGACTCCAGAGCGCCGAGAGAACGATTCCTACATAAATTGTCATGAAGTCCGAAGCGAGAGCGCGATTCCTGAATAAAATGCGAGGAAGTCTCAGGTGGGAGCGGGGGTCCTGGCTAAATCGTGGGGAAGTCTCAGGCGGGAACCGTTGTTGTTGTTGTTGTTGTTGTTGTTGTTGTTGTTGTTGTTGTTGTTGTTGTTGTTGTTGTTGTTGTTGTTGTAACCCGGGGGCCAGGGACACAATTTGAGCATCAAGACTTTCCCTGTCAAAAAAACCGGGTGCGAGCGTCGAGGGGCGCACTTTGATTGAGAAAAACAAGCATGCACCGGTGAGGGGGGATCAACCATAATTATTCTTGAAAAATGAGAATTCATCAACACACACCACCACCACCACCACCACCACCACCACCACCAACAACAACAACAACAATCATTTAAGACTGGGGACACTCCGTTCTCACCAGTGCCAGGGTTTTCATAGGAGGCGGGCAATACCCCCACTTTGTGGGGGGGCCGGTTCAAGCTCTACCAAATTTCCAAACGACTCTTCGCCACCACCCACACCCAGCTTCCCGCCCTATGACGTTCGGACACTTCACTTCGTGGCATGCGGACGACCGTGGCTACTATTCAGGGCCCCGCGGCCGACGACGACGGCGTGCGCGCGCGAAGAAAAAACGAATGTGTCCCGCATGGTATTATTTGACAGGGATGATGGCCCTGGCAGGTGCGCAACCGTTGTTGCAGAAGTTCGAAAAAGTTGCTCGCAAAAGCCCGTTTGACAGAAATGTTTAAAAAGTGTTGGGTTTCCTACGAATCCGCAAGAGCGCGCGGGATGAAATTTTGACAATTTTTTTTGAAAAACCATTGGTTTTTTGATGTTTTTATGTTAAAATCGCTACGAAAACTAAGGTTTTGGAAGGATTTCGTCTTGCGCGCGCGAATGTCCACTTTACCTTATTTTTTGCAAGGGATTCTTGAAGTTTGGATATGTTAGAACAAGAAATTTCATTTTATAGTGTTTTTTGCAAGGGAAAGCGGGGGACAACAAAACAACCGGATCTGGACCACATCGTTTTGCCTGAGGCTTCCTCACGAAAATTATGAAAATGAGGCTGCGGCCTAGGCGCGGCGGGGGGGCCGCGCACCAGGGGCCCCAACAATAATTATTCTTTAGAATTAATAATGTTCAACAACAACGAACACAACAACAACACCACCACCAACAACAAACGCAACAACACCACCAACAACAGCAACAACAGCAGCAACAGCAACAGCAGCAACCGCAGCAACAACAACAGCAACAACAACAGCAGCAACACCACCACCACCAACAACAACAACAATAACGCCGCCACCACCACCACTATAATCACCACCGCTAGCATCGCCATCGGCATGGTCCTCAGCAGCATTGTCATCATCAGCAGCATCACCATCATCAGCAGCAGCATCAGCATCATTATCGCCCCTCCCCCTTCCCTCCCATTCTCCACAACTAAAACAATATGAAAACTATTATCCTCTCTCCCCTGGCTCCGTCCAGAAGAGACCAGGTCCTCTCCGCGTGCTGTTTTCACACGCAGGAATCCACATGTTGATGTCCTTATGGTGCTTACAATATGGCTGCTTTCGGTACTTGATGGTGCTCCCCCTGCAGCGTGGGCCTCATTTTCGGATCGGCGCTTTCTGTCAGTCGTTCAGAAAAGCGCTCTCGCCCCAACGCGGGCCACTTTTCTGAATCCGTGTCTCTCTTCACCGTTGTCGCTAGTCTCATTTCCCCTCAACCGCCTTTCCCTGGACCGCTTGTTCCTCCCGCTCCTTCCACTGCAGCTCCTGCTTCTGCTGTTCGTCCTCGTCATGTTCCTCCCACTGATCCTCCTGCTCACCCGCCACCTCCTCCTCCTCCTCCTCCTCCTCCTGTGCACGAAGCTCCCCTTTTCCGATTGAGCATAACACGATATGGTCTTTTGGTTCGAGTTGCAGGTCGACTATGATACGCGTTCGCGGAAAGAGAAAAAACAAGGCAATGGGAAGGGATGCGAGGGAAGAATAGGGTGCCAGATGAGGCGCGAGCGCACCTAGCTTGCCCATTGGCCCTACCACCTCCCCCCACACGCACACACACACACACACACACAAACAAACACACACACACACACACACACACACACACACACACACACACACAAAAACGCGCGCACACACACACACACACACACACACACACACACACACACACACACACACACACACACACGCACACACACAGACACACACACACACACACACACACGCACGCGCACACATACACACTCGGAGGAAGACGGCAAGGGTCGTGTCCTCGGCCATCTCCATGATGTACGAAGCGTCGCTGTAATACCCACACTTCACCTGGCCCGTCGACCCGGGGGAAAGGGGCCCATTTTCCTCCCCATCGCTCAGAAGAGCCAAAGCCCTGAGAAGGAGAAGGAGGAGAAGGAGGAGGAGGAGGAGGACCTTGAGGAGGAGCTGGAGGAGGAGCTGGAGGAGGAAGAACAGTAGGAGGAGGAGGAGGAGGAGGAGGAGGAGGAGGAAGACGACGAGGTGGAGGGGGAGGGGGAGAAGGAGCTGGAGGAGAAGGAGGAGGAGGAGAAGGAGGGGGAGCTGGAGGAGGAGGGAGGGGGAGGAGGAAGAGGAGGAGGAGGAGCAAGAGCAGGAAGAGCAGGAAAAGGATTCGTTTTCGAGGGAGTCTGGGTCCAATGGGCCTACTTTCTGATGCTCGGCCACGTCGGCCTGGGCAGACATTTGGAAGCTCGCATGGCACGCCATCCAAGACAGAGGAAGAGCACGGGGAGCACCGAGGAGAGGAGGCGAGGAGGAGAGGTAGGAGGCGGAGAGGAGGAGAGGGCGGAGACGGACTCGGAATAGAGAAAAAGAGTAGGATAGAGAGGAGGAGAGAGGAGGAGCTGGATGAGGAGGAGGAGGAGGAAGAGGGAGAAGGAGGAGGAGGAAGAGTAGGAGGAGTGGAGGAGGAGGAGGAGGAGGAGGAGGAGAAGGAGGAGGAGAAGGAGGAGGAGGAGGAGGAGAGGAAGAGAGGGGAAAAAACAGGAGGGGAGGAGGAGAGGGAGGAGGAGGAGGAGGAAGCAACGACCGTTGAGTCGTCCGCAGCCCGCGCGGGCGGCAACAGCCGTCGTCGGCGCGGCGACGTCGTCGCCCCTCGAGTCAAGAAGCAAACACGACGGACGGTGGTCCACTGCTTTCGGCCACTCGGGACCCTGACCAAGACTCGGGAACGTCAAAACTACGACTGGTGATGAAGAACCCGTCCCGGGGACGGGGTCTAGACCACAGGGGGTCGGCGTTATCACGAAATCACGGTGTCGGGGGTCTGGGGACGACGACGACGACGACGACGACGACGACGAGGGGCAGGGGAGGAAGGGGATGCAGAAGGAGAGAGGAGGAGAGGAGGAGGGTCGGGAGACTTCCCCTTCCTCCCCCGCCTCCCGGGAGAGGAGCAGGAGGAGGAGGAGGAGGAGAGGAAAAGAGGGGAAAAAACAGAAGGAGGAGAGGACGGACGACGACGGCGGCGGCGGAACGGGGGGAAGCGAGGGCCACGAATGCGATCGAGAGGCTGGCGAGGGCGGCGAGGACAGCGAGCGATGAGCCCTCTCACCATGTAGTCCACCTCCCAGTCCGTGGCGACAGTCAGCGTCAGCCTCCTGCTGGACATCTTCCCGCCCGCGGCCTCAGACACCTGCAGCGGGGAAGGGGGGGAGAGGGGGGGAGCGTCTTGCTATGCTGAGGGGGCCCAGGGACACACAAGTAAATATGCACACATCGAGGGATGCCCCATCTGCTCCCATATTTTCTGCAACTTCGTCGTCTCCCCCCTCCCACGCTCACTTGCCATAGTTTCCCCCGCTTTCCGGGCGTCGGCGACTTCTTGTGTCTGCGTGGTCTTCCCCCCCCCCCCCGATAGATGAAACTTTTTCCCCGAAGAGCTTGCTGAACGGGGTGCTGTTGTGATAGAAGCTAACTCCGGCCGAGGGAAGGGGAAGCAGAGACATCCTCACAAAAATCTGATGGTCCGGGCCGTTTCGCTTGACACATCCTCACAACTCTCGTTTATGAGTTGGCCAGGATTGGCCGTTCCGCCTTAGACGTCCTCGAAAAGTTGCGCTCCGTGGCGCCGCGCGAGAGGTGGTCCGGGCCGTTTCGCTTGAGACATCCTCGAAACTCTGAGCGCCGAGGTGCCGTGCGAGAGGTGGTCCGGGCCGTTTCGCCTGAGACATCCTCGAAACTCTGAGCTCTGAGATGCCTTGCGCGAGGTGGTCCGGCCCGTTTCGCCTGAGACATCCTCGAAACTCTGACCTCGGAGATGCCGCGCGAGAGGTGGTCCGGCCCGTTTCGCCTGAGACATCCTCGAAACTCTGAGCTCTGAGATGCCCTGCGCGAGGTGGTCCGGCCCGTCTCGCCTGAGACATCCTCGCAACTCTGAGATCCCAGATGCCGCGCAAGGTGGTCCAGCCTGGGGGCCCAGAAGACCACATGTTACATATCCTCCCTGGGACCCTGGGAGCCCCAGGAGGCCCCACAGAGCTCCAGGAGGCCGCAGGGCGCCCAGGACAGGCCCCAGGGGTCCCCAGGAGATTCCGAGGAGGCTCCCAAGAGGCCCCATGAGGCCCCCTATCAGAACGTGTCAAGTTAATACACATCCGGTGTCGATTCGTTGATTTTTCCTGCTCTTGTGCCCCCCCTCCATTTTGAGGGGCCCAAGCGGCCACAGGTTAGATATCCCCCCTGGGAGCCCCAAGAGGCTTCAGTAAGCCCCAGGTGGAGTTCAGGATGCCACAGGAGGCCCAGGAGGAAACCCCAGGAGGTCCCCAGGAGGCCCCCGCAACTCGGAGCTCTGAGACGCCGCGCTCGAGGTGGTCTGGCCCGTTTCGCCTGAGACTTCCTCGCAGCACGTTTCGCCCGAGACATCTTCGCAACTCTGGGGGTCCGAGATGCCGCGCGCGAGGTGGTCCAGCTCGTCACGCTGGAGACATCCTCGCAATTCTAGGCTCCGAGATGCCCTTCGGGATGAAGAGGAGGTGGAGGAGGAGGAGGAGGAGGAGGAGGAGGAGGAGGGGAAGGAAATGGAAGGGAGAAGGAGGAGGCGGATGAGGTGGATGAGGGAGCAGGCAGGAGGAGGAGGAGGAGGAGGAGGAGGAGGAGGAGGAGGAGGAGGGAGAAGGAAGGGAGCTGCAGGAGAGGACCTAACGGGAAGCGGGTGTGACGTGGACTTGTCAGCAACTGTGCGAGAGGTTGTCCGGCCCGTGTCGTTTGAGACACACTTCCAATACTGAGCTCCAAGATGTCGCTCGCGCGGTGGTCCGGCCCGTTTCGATTGAGCCATCCTCGCAATGCGGGGTTCGAAGATGTTGCGCGCGAGATGGTCTGGCCCGTTCTGCCTGAGACGTTTCGTAGCACAGGGGCTCCAATCACAACCTCTCTCATTGCTTCTCCCGCCTCCCTCTTCCCACTTCCCGCCTGGCTCCTCTTCCCTCCTCCCTCCTCCCGCCTCCCGCCTCCCGCTGCTGCGCCTCTGCCTCCTCCTCCCCGTCCCCGCCGTCGTCGTTTCTGCCGCCTCAGCATCCGTCATGCGCGCACTGCCTTCCGCCCTCCCCAGACATCCGACGTCACGATTTTGTTTTTGAGACGTGCGCCGCGTACCTCTCGATATCATCCCCGGGGGAACCGTCACGACATGCTCCCACGCTTCCGCGCCCTCCCCCGCTTCCTCTTACAGTTGCTTCCGAGTTCACAGCATGGCGGTGGAGCCTCTCACAGTGCCGACCCGACAGCGTACTCGTCGACCAGGTGCGAGAAAGTACGACACCCTCTAGCGTTAGCTTCCTGATAGGCATGCGTCACACAAGTTTTCGTGCAAACATCTCATGTGCAAACATCATGTAATCAGGTTGTAACATGCCATGCCAGTCCGCACTGGACAAGCACGCAATCGACCTTGGAAACCGCAGTGGGTCTAAAAACCCTGTTTGGGGATACTGCACTCCGGCTATAAGTTCAAACTCGCCCTACGTATTGGTAACGTTATTAGCCGCACTCTGCGGCGGCTCGATCCTTCCGAGCCTGCTCCCGCTCCTGAATTCGAAGGGCAAGAGCCTGCATAACGAGGAGCAGGAGGAAGCAGGAGGAGGACGAGGAGAAAGGATCTGAGCAGAGCCCCGCGGGTCATCGCCATCTGACTCCTGTGAGCCTGGGCGCCCCCCGATGGATGAAACTGAGCGCGAGCCCCTGCTGCTGCTCTCTCTCTCTCTCTCTCGCTTCTCTCTCTCTCTCTCTCTCCTCCTCCTCCTCCTCCTCCTCCTCCTCCTCCTCCTCCACCTCCTCCTCCTCCTCCTCCTCCTCCTCCTCCTCCTCCTCCTCCTCCTCCTCCTCCTCCTCCTCCTCCTCATCCTACTACTCCTCCTCCTCCCCCCCCTTCTTCCATGCGCGGCACGCTCGCCGCTTCACCCAATCGTCTCTGTTTCACCATTTCTGCCAACGCACCTATGCCTGTCTGTCTGTCCTTCCATCTGTCTGTCTGTCTGTCCGTCTGTCAGTCTGTCTGTCCGTCTGTCCGTCTGTCTGTCCGTCCGTCTGTCTGTCCGTATGTCCGTCTGTCTGTCCGCCTGTCTGCCTGTCTGTCCGTCCGTCTGTCTGTCCGTCTGTCTGTCCGTCCGTTCGTCTGTCTGCCTGTCTGTCTGTCCGTCCGTCCGTCTGTCTGTCTGTCTGTCTGTCTGCCTGCCAGCCATGCGCGCGCCATGGCTCCAAATAGTCTACGCCGAGCGCCCGCCGCACCACCGCATCCCAAGCCACCATGCAAGGGCCGCCCAAAAGCAACCTTGACGGATCGACGGGGTGCCAACCTCAGGCAAAAGGAAACCTGCGTCGACTCACTCCTGAGCAATGGCAGCGTCGATTGACATGTCGCTGCCTACAAGGAACTGGCCCATGAGCATCGAATCGACCCCGACCACAACTACCAGCAACACCGCTCCGAGCAGCGTGAGCTTAGGGGCGAGCTGATGAAACTGTGCGGGAAAAAAACATGAACCCAGCGCGACCCCAACTAGAGGATGTCACAGGATGTCCTTGCGAAAACGAACCCGAAGAACATGGGGAATCCGGGGAAACCCGGGAGCCCAGGGAGCCCGAGGAACCCGAAAAACCCGGGGAACGCGAATAACCCGAAGAACCCGAAGAACCCAGGGAACCCGAGGAACCCGGGTAATCCGAGGAACCTGGGGAACCTCCGAGGAACGGGCAAAGTAGCCAGCCAAGGCGCCAACCTTCAACCAAGTAAGAACACCTCAGGCAAGCCGAATCGGGGACTGCTCAACTACACCATGCTGCACCACTCCCCTGAAGCGGAAGACGGGCACCAGCCGTGACTCATCAGGGTCCACGGCCTCGGCCGACGCCCACCAGGGCAGTGGCACCGCCCCCCTCACCAGCCAGGACGCACCAAACTGGGACGCCCCGAACGCGCCTCCGCCCCACGGGGCCGACCACGGGGTCTCACATGCCAGTGGCACCGCCCAGCACCCTACCGGGGCCAAACACCGACCAAAGATCCTTGGGCCTCCGTCGTCATCCTTCCCAGCAGCTGCCTCGCCCGGGGCAAACGCCACCAAAGGACCCTGGACGCACTCGCCGTAACCACCGCCAACCCCTACGAGCACACCCACCAGGGTAGAGCCCAGGGTGAAACCTGACGAGGCCTCAGCGACACCCACGGCGCAGCAAACGCCACTGACAGTACCACCGTGGTCCACGTCAACAGCTGACGTGAGCGCTGCCCGACACCCCAGGCATCCTCTCGTCCCGCCACATGTGACTGCGCCCACACATAAGAAGGCACCAAGGTAACGGTCTTGAGCCAGGAGAACAAGGAGGAGGAGGAGGAGGAGGAGGAGGAGGAGGAGGAGGACCCCATCAACGGCCAGCACTGCACTGTCACTGGCCGCACGGGGCATCAGCGAGGGGTAGAGGTATGGGCACCTCTTTCCCTCCTCTGCCTCTCTGCCCGCGTCAAACACTTGATCCCCGGCCCCCCTCCGAAGCCCGTGGGGGGCAGCAGAGACGCCAGCGTCGGGACCCGGGCCAGCAGAGTCGCTAGCCTCGTCGACGGCGGGGCCCCCGGCCGAGCCACCGGGCCCGCGGTGCGCACGCGCAGCAGCCCGCGCCGAGGCCTGCGATCGCCCGGCCGTCGCACCGGCGACCGCGACGAGGCTTGCACGAACACCCTGAAGCTCACCCAGAGATCCAACGCATTGAAAGAATCAAGGCGGAGGTTTTTCTTATTTTTCGGCCTCGAGGGGCCCTCGCCGGGCCCCAGGACCGTCAAAAGACGACTCGGGACGAGAGACCGGCCCCAGGGAATGGGTCGAGACTCCTGGGGGCGCCGCATGGAAAAAATCACGACGTCGGAGCTCTGGGCGTTGGCAGGACTGGGCCTTCAGTGGGACCTGGCTCAGGGATGCGAGCCGGGGGACGCCCGCTCGCCCCGGTCCACTCGCCGGAGCTGCCGCCGCCCGAGAAGCGCCGGCGACGGCAGACTCGGTCCCGGGGATCCCGGCGTGTGTTCGGGGCTGCGGGGCCCAATCGCTACCCGGCTCCCCTTCGCGGGGGTCCTGGCTATACCCGAGCGTGGCTCGCGGCAGCGGGGGCGCCTCGGCAAGCTCCGCAGGCACCGATGCGGAGCGCAACTCCCCGTCGGGCCGCCCCGTCCCGGAGTGCCAGGAGGCGGGTGCTGGGGAACCAGGTTTAAGTCGGGCATGTCCCCCTAGAGGCAGATTTTGGAGGAAGAATAACAAAGAATCGACAAATATGCAGGGGGACGCCCGACTCAAAACCAGGTCACCGGCACGGCCCCCCCACGGACTTCTGACCGAAAGAGTGGCAGAGAAAGATACCGATGACGCACTGAACGGCGAGGACGATGTCGGGGGCGGCCAAGAGGGGGGCGTCCAAGAGGGGGGGGCGCAAATCATGGCCGGCGGCATGTGCGCGGCCCCGCGGGGGGGGGCCGGGGACGTCATGAAATAAGAAGAGGCGCCATGAAACCTGGGTAAGATATCATGGCCCCCGCCATGATATCCACGCCCCCCTAGTCATCACCCCCCTCTTTGCCGCGGGGGGTCTGGGGTTCGTTCCCTTCCCCGCTGGGGCGCGGGGGGGTGCCGGGGGGGTGTTGGCCGCGCCGCGTTTTCACGTTTGTCACCCCCCGGTTGATGAATAAGAAATTCGGAGTGCCGATGACGCACCGAACGGCGAGGACGATGCCTGGTGCGGGCGGGACAGCCGGGAACTTCGTGCTCCTCCTCCTCCTCCTCCTCCCTCCTCCTCCTCCTCCTCCTCCTCCTCCTCCTCCTCCTCCTCCTCCCCTCCTCCTCCTCCTCCTCCTCCTCCTCCTCCTCCTCTCCTCCTCCTCCTCCCTCCTCCTCCTCCTCCTCCTCCTCCTCCTCGTTGGGACAGCGTGCCGCGACGGCGGCCCTGGCGACACCCTGTGCCCTGCGAGCAGGCAGCGTGCCCGCTGCGCCCCTCGGGGCATGAGGCCCGGGAGGGTTCGGGGCGTTTTGAGGTCCGGGGCTCGGTCGGGCATGTCTGAGGAGGAGGAGGAGGAGGAGGAGGAGGAGGAGGAGGAGGAGGAGGAGGAGAAGGAGGAGGGAGGGGGGAGGAGGGGGAGGGGGGAGGAGGGGGAGGGAGGGGGGGGGGCCTTGGGGCACACAAATGAATACACACAGATAAGCGGATTCCCCCCACTGCACACTTTTTTTCCGTCGGCGGCGGGGGGAAGAGCTGCACCAGCGAGCGGCGATCCGGGGCGACCGATACGCGAATTGGCTGGCATGCGAGCGGCTGCACGCACACGCACGCACGCACGCACGCACGCACGCACGCACGCACGCACGCACGCACGCACGCACGCACGCACGCACGCACGCACGCACGCACACACACACACACACACACACACACACACACACACACACACCCGCGCGCGCGCACCCACACACACACACACACACACACACACACACACGCGCACACACGCACAGAGACAGCCGCGCGCTCCAGGCGAACGTGGATCTGCCCCACCTCCAGAGCGTCCCGGTGGCGAGGCCGCGCGGGGGCCAGCGCTGCGCCGCGCCGCCCGCGCGTCACCGGAGAGAGGCTCGGGTCTGCCTACGCCGCTGCGGAGAGGACGAGCGCAAGCGGGCACGCCTCGAGCCCGGGTTCGGCGGCAACGGCGCCGCTCCTCGCGCGCGCGCGCTGCGCCACCCACCGCACGCAGCTGGAGAGAGGCCCGGTCTTTTGTTGGATGGATCTCTCAAGCATCTAGGCCGCCTCAGGCGGTGTGCGCTCAGAGCAGGAGCACAGCAGATCCGCGCGAAATCGTGGCAGCATTGGTGTAGATCCGAAGACGTGTCAGGTGCTCCAGCGAGCCATGACACAGCAAGGCCCTGGGACAGCGAGGCACTGACAGTGTAGCTCAACATCAACACAGTGGCCGGGAAGCCCCCGCGACATGTCTACGAGCGCTGGCCTACCCGAGCGGGTGCGGCCACAGGACGCTTTGAGTGCACAATGGGCAGTACCACAAGATCTTATGACAGGACCAAGGCGCGAAGGCGCACACCTCGAGCCCGGATGGGTGGCGGCAGCACGCCTCGCGCGCACGGCGCCACGACCGCGCCACCGCGCTGCCGAGGCACGGAGATCGCAGGCGCTTAGCTGCCCGACGCACAGCACGCAGCACGCGGCGTGCCGGCACAGAGCTCAACGCGCAAACCGAATGCGCAGGTCTGGCGCGACGGGTTCGCCAGAACGAGGACCAGCACGTGCAGCACGCGTCGATCCAACACGAAGCGTCTTAGCGTGGGCCTCTTGCACGCGGCACGTGCTGCGCTTCCACCCGGGCACGCCGGGGCACGCCGAGCGCGGGCGTGCCCACGAGGAGGCTGGCGCGCCGCGGCCCGAGGCGCGTTGCGCGGCCCTGGAGACGTAAGCCGGGGAGATGTCGTGGCCCAGGCCATGCTGTCAACCTAGAGGAAAGAGAACCATGCTCGAAAGCTGGGCGAGGGCTGCTAAAACCGTGGCTGCTAAAGCGGCCCTCCCGGAAGGAAAAAACAACTTCACGAGATGAGGCGCGGCACGCGAAACATACAACGGGCTTCTTCCCGGAAGGACGAAAACAACTTCCCGGAGATCGATGTTAGCAGCTCTTGCCCGGCTTCCGACATGCACATACACCGATTCTGGCCAGGCCCATCCTGAGCCCAGGATCGGTGCATACGCCCTTCTACCTTGGCTAGGAAGGTATGTGCACCGATCCTGGGTCAAGGATGGGCCTTGCCAGGATCGGTGCATGTGCACAGTTCCCTTCGCCCGACAACCCCCCCCCACCCCACGTCTGGCGCTGGAAGCGCAGCGCAGCAGCATCGATCTCTGAGCAGCACGCTGCCCCCGTGGGGCGATCGCGCCCCCGCGAAGGCCCCTTTTCTGTGCGCGCGGTCCCCCTACCGGGGCGTCTTTGGCGCACGCTGTCCCCAAGGTGGGGGGGGATAGTGCGCGATAAGCGCGGGCCAGCGGCGCAACACCGCACTCCCCCCCTTGAGCGCCCCCGCAGAGGAGCGAGGGCAGCAAGCAAGGACGCCGGGATTGCCTGTCTCTCGCTCCGGCCGACAGCAGCTGTGTGCAGGAGGCGGAAGGAGGGCGGGAGGGAAGGGGAGGAGGAGGGGGAGGAGGGACGAGGACCGAGGAACGAGGGACGAGAAACGAGAAACGAGTGGGAGGAGGACGAGGAGCAGGAGGAAGTGACGGACAGGAGGAGGAGGAGGACGAGGAGGAGGAGGACAAGGACAAGGAGGGGGAGGACCTCAACCACCAGCTGATCCTGCAAAATCGGCAACTTGTCCAGGAGCATCAAGGTCACTGCCGTCTGGACCTCCGCCTGGCCTCCAGTGCTTGTGAAGGCCATGCTCTGCGTGATCCTGACTTGCGGCACGCAGAGGGGAATGGGACGAGGGGGTACGGCACAGCGGCCCTCTGAGAAAGCAGGGAGGTTTCTTGGAACGGATCGAAGGCCTCCGAATTTCTCAATACTCATCCTACTCATGCTAACCCTCGGGCTCCTCCTCCTCCTCCTCCTCCTCTCCTCCTCCTCCTCCTCCTCCTCCTCCTCCTCCTCCTCCTCCTCCTTCCTCCTCCTCATCATCATCATCATCATCATCATCATCATCATCATCATCATCATCATCATCATCATCATCATCATCATCATCATCATCATCATCATCATCATCAGCATCATCATCATCATCATCATCATCATCATCATCATCATCATCATCATCATCATCATCATCATCATCAGCATCATCATCATCATCATCATCATCATCATCATCATCATCATCATCATCATCATCATCATCATCGACATCATCATTATCATCATCAGCATCATCATCGTCATCATCATCATAATCATAATCATCATCACCGTCATCATCATCATCATCATCATCATCATCATCATCGACATCATCACTATCATCATCATCAGCATCATCATCATCGTCATCATCATCATCATAATCAGAATCATCATCATCATCATCATCATCATCATCATCATCATCATCATCGTCGTCGTCGTCGTCGTCGTCGTCATCATCGCCGTCATCATCATCATCAGCCGCAAAAGCAGCAGCATCAGCATCAGCACCAGCCTCTGCATCATCATCATCATCAGCAGCATCATCATCATCATCATCAGCACCATCAGCATCATCACCATCATCATCACCATCATCAGCATCATCCTGATCATCAACATCATCGCATCATAAGCACCATCATAACCAATCGACAGCAGCATCAGCCTCTGCAGTATCAGCAGCAGCAACATGCGCATCATCTGCATCATCAACAGCATCAATATCATGAGCATCATCATCATCATCTTCATCAGCAGCAGCATTATCATCTTCAGCAGCATCAGCATCATCATCGTCAGCATCATCAGCATCATCGTGATTATGATCATGCTCATCATCATTGTCACCAGCAGCATCAGCAGCAACATCAGCAGCATCATCAGCAGCAGCATCAGCAGCAGCATCATCAGCAGCATGATCATCATCACCCTCACCATGACCCTCACCCTCACCTTCTTCCTCACCCTTACCTTCGCCCTCCTCCTCATCCTCTTCTCATCAACCTCTTCGACCTCCTCCTCCTCGTCGCTCGGCTCTTCCGCGTCGCCCTCCTCCTCGCCACCCTCTCCTCCCCTCCCCCCGGAATTCCGCATTCGGAGCTCGAAACTCGGAGTCCCAATCCGATCTAGAATTCCGAATTCCCAACTCGGAAGTCCGAAATCGGACCTCTTCATCTACACCCTGCGGATCGCTGTTCTACGAAGGCCTCTCAGACGGCAGAGCGGCACTCACCTTAGGCTTCTGTGCAGGCCTCTCGGGAAGGCCAGGGGAGCCTCCATGCAGGAGGACCCGCTTCACTCTTAAAACGCTCCTCGGACCCTGTCAAAATCCAGTCGAAATTTCGGTGGCAGCTCATGGGAGCATCCGATACCATCTTGTCGGCTCTTGCGAATCGAGGATTCTCGATGCTAATCGACGCTAACTCGACGCTAATCGACACTAACAGACGCTAACAGACGCTAAATCGGCGCTATATCATCGACTCCCAGACGCTATCGACGCGAATCGACGCTACAAAAACAGAATTCCCAGGGTACACCAGGCTCCCATGAATTGCTGCCGCTCAGAATCCGTGCGAAATCCGTTCAAACTCTGGCCTCTTCACTCTTAGCTCTGGCCAAGATCAGGTCAAAACCTGACCGCGGACCCCTCCTGGGCTCCAGCCTGGCCTCAGGTCTCGAGCAGCCTCCAAGCGTGGCGACGAGAACCCCCGCAGGCGCCCAAAAACCTCGCAAGGCGACGTCGTCGAAGGCGTCGTAGTCGATCCACCATATGGCGTGGAAGAGAAAATCCATTAACATAAACGTTCGGAGCTTCGCGCGGACTTCTTGCACCTGCGCTGGACCCGCCTCCCTGGCGCACGGAGCGCGCCAAGGGCGGCGCTGGAGGCGCCGCCAGGGGGGCCCAGCGCCGATCCGAGAAATCCGCGCGGAGCTTTAAGGTCTTGTGTATGCCGTTTTTCCTGCTTTGATTTCTTCGCGCCGCCGCCGACCTGAAAGGCATGGTGGTAGTCGTCAGGGTGGTGCTCGTGGTGGCGGTGGCGGTGGCGGTCGTGGCCGAGGCCGTCGTGTCCGTGGCGGTGGCGGTCGATGCCGTGGTGCTCGTGGTGGCCGAGGCGCTCGTCGCGGTGAGGCTGGTGGTGGAGGCGGTGCCGCTGGAAGTGGTCGCGCTGAGGCTGGTCGAGCTGGAGATAGTCGCGCTGGAGGTGGTCCGACTGGAGGTGGTCCGACTGGAGGTGGTCGCACTGGAGCTGGTCCGGCTTGAGGTGGTGAGGCTGGAGCTCGTGCGGGTCGCGGTCGACGTCGGCGTCGCGCCGAGGGGAAGGAGGAAGCAGGAGGAGGAGTAGGAGGAGGAGGAGGAGGAGGGATGAGGGAGCCAGGAGCAGGGAGGGGAGGGAAGAGGAGGGAGGAGGAATGTGAGGAGAACATGGATGAGAACAGGAGGAGGAGAGGAGGAGAGGAGGAGTGGAGGAGTAGAGGTCAGCGTCGCGCTTGTGATCGAGGTCTCCGTGGAGCTGATGGTCGTCCTCGTGGCCGTAACGATCAGGATGTCTGGCTCGGCCATGGCGACAGACTCTGCGTTGAGCTCGAGGCCTCTTCCCCCATCTCATCCACCACCTCCTCCTGGTCGTCCTCCTTTTCCTCCTCCTCCTCATCATCATCACCACCACCAGCAGCAGCAGCATCACCACCACCACCACCACCACCACCACCACCATCATCATCATCATCATCATCATCATCATCATCATCATCATCATCATCATCATCAGCATCAGCATCAGCATCAGCATCAGCATCATCATCATCATCATCATCATCATCATCATCATCATCATCATCATCATCATCATCATCATCATCATCATCGCCACCACCACCACCACCACCTCCGTCATCATCACCATCACCACCATCATCATCACCACCACCACCATCATCATCATCATCACCATCACCATCACCATCACCATCACCATCATCATCATCATCATCACCATCATCACCATCACCATCACCATCACCATCACCATCATCATCATCACCAGCATCATCGTCATCATTATCATCATTATCATCATCATCAGCAGCAGCAGCAACATCATCATCATCATCATCATCATCATCATCATCATCATCATCATCATCATCGTCATCATCATATGCTCCTCCGGGTCCTCCTCCTCCACCTCCTCCTCCTCCACCTCCTCCTCTTCCTTCTCGCTCGGCATGCGGATTGAACTCTCAAAATCTGGCTGGCTGGGCACCACCGCAGAGGCGCATCGAACCCTTCGAACTGTCGCGGCGCGCCTCGGGCTGACCATGCGGAGGACCATGCGCAACCTCGGCCACGACACGCATGGCAAAGGGGTCGTCAGGACGGTGGCCGAGCGCAGGCTGGCTACACTGGCCGCCAGGAGGCCTCGGGTCCGGGCACTCCAACGCGCTGCGGGTTGCCGGCTGCAGGCCCTTTGGCGCACCGGGTTGCTGCCGTCGGCGGCACACGGTGCCACCGTCGCGGGCACCACGGACGAGCACTTGGCCAAGCTGCGCCAGGTGACGGCGACGCTTTGTCGAGGGCGCGCGGGCACTGGGTCCAGCACGCTCTACATGGCCACGCACACGGACCCGTACCTCGACCCGATGTATGGCGTCACGTTGGCGCCCGTTTTACACTTCTTCCGTCTGTGATGGCAAGTTCGAGCTCGGCCCCGTGCAGCGCGTGTGGCAGGCGCTTGAGCAGAAGTGGGTGGACCACAAGCCCACGTGGCAAGGGGTCCGAAGGCCCTTGGCAGCAACGTGGATGGGCCTCCTCGAGATTGGTTGGAACACGGTTTCCAATTTGGGCCTGGTCACGGACATGGGAGCCACCACCGAGCTCCTGCACGTGCCCCCGAAGGAGGTGCGCCAGCTGGTGCGCGAGGGGCTCCAGCGGTGGCAGGGCCGCCAGATCCTGAGCCACCACAGGGACATCCTCCCTCCGGCAAGGACGCACTGTAGATGCGAGCGGTCCGCAGGGTGCTGGCTCCGCCGAAGGCAGCCCTTCGTGCAGCGCGAGCAGGCCAGCTACGTAAGCTGTGGTCGGGCTCGTCGTGGGACGCCGTCAAGCGGCACGCCAATGGGTACCTCTCGAGCCCAAAGTGCCCTTTCTGTCTTGAGCCTGCGCCTGTGTGCACGAAAGGCCACCAGCTCTACGAGTGTCCGAAGATTGCTGAAACGGGTCAGGAGGAGGGAAACGTTATCGAGTCCATCTCCGAAGTGAGCGCCAAGCTCAGGCAGAGGCTCAAGGACCGCGTCTCCATCGGTGTGGCTGACGAGGACCACGACAGGTTCGACCTCATCACGGCCATGCCCATGGTACCCCACCCCGTGCCGCCTGCGGGAGGGCGCCAGGAAATGCACAGGCGGGGCGACTGGAGCTCACCGATGGGGTGCAGGTCCGCCGTGGCCCACCACGACGGGCCGGGCTACGACACTGCCTGGCCCGAGCTGTACAGCTGCGGCTGGGCGGTGGTGCAGATGGACGACAGCTCTTTTCACCAGCGAGTGGGAGCCCGGTGGCAGAGTGCGGGAGACGACACGGCACGACGACGAACGACGGGCGACAGACGAACGACAAAGGCGCGAAGGCGGGGAGAGAAGAGGGGAGGGGGAAGGGGGCCCACGGGGGGCGCCCGCGCCCGGCGCAGCCCCGCTCAGGCCCGGCAGTCCTCGGCCGCGGCGACGTGCCGCCTGCCTAGGCTACCCTGCCTGGACGACAGCAACCAGCCGCTGCGTGCCATCTATGGCGCCATGCCTGGACAGAGGCGGACGGTCGGCCGTGCGGAGAGGTGGGCCCTCCTCATGGCGGTCCGCCACCTGCC